AAAGTTAAAAGTTATTTTTTTTTTTTGAAAATTTCAAATAAAATTTTAATTTTTTACTTAATAAAGTTAATAAAGAATATCTTAAACTATATTTTTTATAATATAAGTAGATTATAAAAATTAATATTTAAAATTTTATTAAATTTTTAAATATGTAGGCAAATTTGCCTGCATTACAATTTAAAATCAAAAATAAAATAAAATAAAATCAAAAAACCTAGATTTTAACATAAAAATCTAAAAAAAATCAAAAATTTGAATTTAAAAAAAGGTATGATTACTTATAACTAATATTGTAAATATATAATATACAATGTAGATATTTTAATTAAATAAATCCACATGCATTTTAATGCTTGTCAAAAAAAAAAAAATTCATTGTGTTTTAAATGGAACGCAGATAATTATGATTGTAGTTTTCATAAATAGCATCTTATAATGATAATAATAATCATTATGATTATTACTATGTTTATTTTTTCTTTGTAATCGATATCTTTAAAACCTAAATTGACATTCTTAGTCAATGATAAATAAGTTAGCATTCTAATCTATATTCTGTTGGACAACAAGCCTCCCTCCCGGAAAAAAAGGAAAAACTATCCAGCCACAGGCTATGTTCGGCGGATATTACCTGATAAAGGAATCACAGATTTTAAGATTTAATCTCGTGATTTCTTTTTTAAGAATAAATATTTTTGGTGCACGTTTCTTTTAAATAGAGTGGTAAAAAAAAAATCTGTACTCGACATCCTCATATTCTTTATCTTAATGCTACGAATTTCAGAAACAATGGAAGCAAGAAGAGGAAGAGAAAAACAAGTGTACGAAAACAGCATACGCCAGGTTTGTAGTATATATGATTTTTTATTAGATTTTATAACGCCAGTTAATATTCAATTTCTAAATCTAGGTAGCTGGTTGTGTACCAGTAAATAAAAAAACTGGTGAAATATTGCTAATAACGCAACGAAAAAAGGAAGGTGGTTGGGTATTGGTAAGCATATTACTTCTTCAAAGCATATATTATAGTCTATAATTTTTTTATAATATTACATTAAAGCCCAAAGGTGGCTGGGAGAATGACGAGTCACAGCAAGAAGCAGCGGCAAGAGAGACATATGAAGAAGGTTCGCTACTAGAAGCTAATTGTTTTTTAAATTTGGTTATCTGTTTTTTGATCAGTCAATATCTTTCGGCAGCTGGTGCAAGAGGACGTTTAACATCATTCATCGGAGTATGGGATCATCATACGGTTAATAAAAAAACGGGGCTACCTAAGGCCATGTTTAGTTTTTTTGAAATGGAAGTAGATAAGTTAGAAGACAACTGGCCTGAAATGGATGAGCGAGACAGGCAATGGGTCTGTGGCATTTATATGTGAATTTCTTGTTTTTCTATTCTAAAGTTTAATAACTTTTATTATAGTTCGCCTATGAAGATGCGTTAGATGCATTGATAAAACCTTTTATGCGTGAAGTTGTAAAACAATGTTCATTGGCTCCGTCAAATTTACAGAAAGAAAAGTGAGTTTCTATGTATAGTTATATTATTTTTGTTTTGATGTTATTTGAGATCTGACAAAATAACTATTTTTATAAGTCAGGTCTTTATATAATCGATAAAGGTTGTCAAGATATTGGATATGATATTTTCAATTTTTAGTTATAATTACATTCGTTTTTTTTTTTTTCTCTTTTATTTATATCTTTCAACAAAGAATGGCTATATGATACAATATTAATTCTGATTTGGTTGCATCATTGTTTCTTTTTCGGAGAAACCACTAAAAAGTAGGATTATAGTTGGCATAAGAGTAATGGATTTTTAATTTTCTTAGATCTAGGTCCGAAGGATTCTAGTATACATAGCATTTTATTTATTTTATATTATATCTATTATATTATGTAATATATGTTATAGAATTCACATGCATTTTTTTTTTTAATATTTTTTTGCATTTTTTCGCTATCCTGTAGGAAATATGAATGGTCTATATTTTTTTTAACAAAGTGACGTGTGGCACCAAGCAAATGTATATAGTACTAAATTCTCGAAACGAAATATATGATGAAAAAAAAAATCATGTGATAAAACTTGAACTTGATCGCGAGAGCTTTGTATAATAATAATCTTACGAAACTCTAGTCTTTATTGCAATAACATAAATAATAATATTATTATTAATTATATCAAGTAGCAAATATGATAGTGAATTATTATAATTAAAACAAAATTTATTTTTATAAGAGAAATGTTTTAAAATATTTCAGTATTGAAATAGATTAAAAGTCAAAAAAAAAAATAATAAGAGAATAGAATTTTGGAATCTTCAAAATTTTGAAAATTTTGGATTTTTTAAAATTTTTGAAATTCATAATATTACAAAAAAGAAAAGAAAATAAAGAAAATATATTTAATTAATGATCTATAAATTTATAATATAGTGCTAATTATACATGTGACATAAACTATTTACTGTTAACTCAATTTCCAAAATCCTCAAAAATAATTGTATCATACTTCAATTATTTATATGTTTTAATAGTGACTCAATTAATGCACCAAATAATTATATTGATTGTATTAATATAATAATCTATAAATTTTGATAACATATATAATGCTAATACTTTATAAATTTATCAAAATATAAAGGCTTTAAAGAAATTGTTAATGATTTTCAAAAAATAATAAACTTATTATTAATTTTAAATATGAATAGAAATTAAAACTTTATTAAGAACAAATATATATATACAGTGTGTTGCAAAACTTTTTGGAATTTTATTTATATGACATAAATATAAATAACTTTTTCAAAACAAAAGCAAT